AATAGACTATGCTAGAATTCATGTACAATGGAGGCAGGTGAATTTGTATTCTTCGTGGCTCGACAGTGATTGTTTGATTTCTCTGCCAATCATAATATCTACGTCTAAAATTTTTTTGTAGTTCGCTCTTCTTGTTCCCTCTTTTTGGTGGATTTTCCATTAAATTGTTATTTTCTATTAGTCTTTCAGAATTATCATTGTTATTGCTTCATTGGACATCATCGTTCTCTCTTTCATCTGATTTTACTGAATTACTTTTGATTTTGTTGCTTACTTTGACTTTCTGTCGATTGCATGCTTTCACTGGTCCCCTTTCTGAGTTGTTTCTTTGGTTTTTCGGATTGTGAGTTTGATTGTTTCGGATTCATTTTTTAGAGCATACTCAATAATACATGTACAATGGATGCTACTTTTGTTGCAGCTTCAAAGTCAATCTGAAAAATGTTCATCTTAACTTTTGCCATTTACATGATGTTGTGCAATTTGATAATTTGTTGTCTGATTTGGGGAGTGAATAAAAACTTCAAATTTGAAATCTTGTGAATTTTGACTTTCACTTGTACTAAATAAAGTAGAGGCATTATGAAAACATAAGGTTAGTGTGATTAATTAGTTGTGCTTTTCTAATTGCTTGTTGGCCGCTCAATTTGATACTATCCAACTTGTATTCTGTTGCTGCTGGGAAATTGTTTGTGATTTCACTGACGCTGCTAGGCGCTATGTCTCTCTTAGGAGGAGGTTTTCAAACTCCAAAAGTTTCCAGTAAGGGACTTTAGTTGGACATCAATTTCTGCTTCTTTTGGTATTTCTGTCATTGAACTCAATTTCTGATTCATCTTTTTATCTGTTTTAGTTTTGGGGGTTCAGTCGGCTGGTGTGAGTGCTGAATTTAAAGTACAATGATCACTTACTATACAATTGGTTCATCCTATGTTATGTTGAAGAGTTGCAAACTAATTGAGTAATGAATCTTTTGTAGAAATTATCACGAACTTTTCTTTATCGTTTATTTTGATTGTTTCATACGACTTCAATATTTTTGTCAATAATTCTCTCGGAATATTTTAAGTTCGGTGATGTAAAAAGGGAGAGGCAGAGGTACATGAAGAATCTATACATGTAATAAACTTGTATCTTAATTTTGCCCCTCAAAACAAAAGTTGTATCTTAACCCCAATGGGTCACTTTCATATGTGATTCTAACTAAAATTTTCAGAGTTCAGAAATTGTATGGTGGTTGCATTTTATACTTCTATATCTTCGTTTTATATATTAAATTTCACTTTTGATCGTTTTACGTTTTGTCACGTAAATGTACAATAAAACAGGGAAACCTACGCTATGAATTTGTTCACGTTGGGCCGGGCCAAGCCCAGCTATCGTTACTAGTATACCAATGAATACGAATCTCAACTAAACAAATATATACAAATTTGTCAGGTGAATACGAATGAATGGATATAAAGATGAATACAGACCAATATATACCTATGTAAAATGAGAATGATATTGATGCAAATAAATGTACACCAACTTATTAATGAATGCAAATGAATATATTCAATACAAATGTATACAAATCTGTTAGATGAATATAGATCAATGAATACCAATACAAACAAATGTATACAAATTCATTAAGTGAATATGGATTGAGTTTCTCACAATAACTTCTAGCAAACAATTGAGGAAAATAATTTTTAAATCGTAGATTCGAATAATCTATGAAAGAAGAATAGTCATAATTAAATACTTTATGCTAATTTTAAGGAGGTAGATAATTTTAAATAAATCTTTTGTTAGTTTTAAGGAGAAATGGTTTGAAGTTAAAAGTGAGATATACTAAATATCTTTTATTATTTTTAAGAAAAATAATTTGAAGAGAGAAGGGTATGATGCAGAATATACATATGGCTATTAAATGCCAATTTTTGTAAAGCTTCCATTTACTAAATATATATTTCCCTTCTTCTAGTAACCAACATAGTGTTGGGTTCTGAAGGGTGATTGGGCGTCATGCGGAAGCTTACAATTTGCAAATCATATAGTTGATAAATCAGATAACAAAAACTTATACTAAAATATCAAAATATTATTATATCAAAACTAATATAAAGAAAAACATTGAAACTTTAGAGAGAATAAATCTCCACATAAACAAGACTCTTAAACGACTACATTGTGGATTTATTGTGTTGTGTTAGAAGAAACAAACATATATTTATAGAGTCCTAAAACCTTTCCTACTAGAAAAGGAGTCCTAAAAGGAGAGAATAAACCAAATATAAAATAATATTATATTTTCCTTTCAAGAAAAGTAAAAACATTTATGGTAATGTTTTGTTTTTTCTTTAAGGAAAAATAAATCTTAAATTATGGCAAGAAAATCAGGACAAAATCCTAACAAATCTCCCCTTTTGGCTGAATTTTCTTGACAAAACTTAATCCGCCTTTTTCATATGCTTGATAATCCTGTTCTTCACAAAATCTTCATGTATCACTGCTGCTTACCATGATTTAAAA